TCACTATCTTGGCCAAGGTTTACATTAAACTTCACTGTCACTATCACTATTTGGGTTCACTATCTTGGCCAAGGTTTACATTAAACTTCACTGTCACTATCACTATTTGGGTTCACTATCTTGGCCAAGGTTTACATTAAACTTCACTGTCACTATCACTATCACTATTTGGGTTCACTATCTTGGCCAAGGTTTACATTAAACTTCACTGTCACTATCACTATCACTATTTGGGTTCACTATCTTGGCCAAGGTTTACATTAAACTTCACTGTCACTATCACTATTTGGGTTCACTATCTTGGCCAAGGTTTACATTAAACTTCACTGTCACTATCACTATTTGGGTTCACTATCTTGGCCAAGGTTTACATTAAACTTCACTGTCACTATCACTATTTGGGTTCACTATCTTGGCCAAGGTTTACATTAAACTTCACTGTCACTATCACTATTTGGGTTCACTATCTTGGCCAAGGTTTACATTAAACTTCACTGTCACTATCACTATTTGGGTTCACTATCTTGGCCAAGGTTTACATTAAACTTCACTGTCACTATCACTATTTGGGTTCACTATCTTGGCCAAGGTTTACATTAAACTTCACTGTCACTATCACTATTTGGGTTCACTATCTTGGCCAAGGTTTACATTAAACTTCACTGTCACTATCACTATCACTATTTGGGTTCACTATCTTGGCCAAGGTTTACATTAAACTTCACTGTCACTATCACTATCACTATTTGGGTTCACTATCTTGGCCAAGGTTTACATTAAACTTCACTGTCACTATCACTATCACTATTTGGGTTCACTATCTTGGCCAAGGTTTACATTAAACTTCACTGTCACTATCACTATTTGGGTTCACTATCTTGGCCAAGGTTTACATTAAACTTCACTGTCACTATCACTATCACTATTTGGGTTCACTATCTTGGCCAAGGTTTACATTAAACTTCACTGTCACTATCACTATTTGGGTTCACTATCTTGGCCAAGGTTTACATTAAACTTCACTGTCACTATCACTATCACTATTTGGGTTCACTATCTTGGCCAAGGTTTACATTAAACTTCACTGTCACTATCACTATCACTATTTGGGTTCACTATCTTGGCCAAGGTTTACATTAAACTTCACTGTCACTATCACTATTTGGGTTCACTATCTTGGCCAAGGTTTACATTAAACTTCACTGTCACTATCACTATCACTATTTGGGTTCACTATCTTGGCCAAGGTTTACATTAAACTTCACTGTCACTATCACTATTTGGGTTCACTATCTTGGCCAAGGTTTACATTAAACTTCACTGTCACTATCACTATCACTATTTGGGTTCACTATCTTGGCCAAGGTTTACATTAAACTTCACTGTCACTATCACTATCACTATTTGGGTTCACTATCTTGGCCAAGGTTTACATTAAACTTCACTGTCACTATCACTATCACTATTTGGGTTCACTATCTTGGCCAAGGTTTACATTAAACTTCACTGTCACTATCACTATCACTATTTGGGTTCACTATCTTGGCCAAGGTTTACATTAAACTTCACTGTCACTATCACTATCACTATTTGGGTTCACTATCTTGGCCAAGGTTTACATTAAACTTCACTGTCACTATCACTATCACTATCACTATTTGGGTTCACTATCTTGGCCAAGGTTTACATAACGGAGGATTCGGAGGACACGGAGGAGGAGGTGGAGGAGGCCATAACGGAGGATTCGGAGGACACGGAGGAGGAGGTGGAGGAGGCCATAACGGAGGATTCGGAGGAGGTGGTGCAGTCGGCGGTGGATTCGGAGGAAATGCTATTGGAGGAGGAGTCGGCGGTGGAGCTGGTGGAGGTTATGGCGGCAATGGTGGAGGAGTAGGAGGAGGCAGCGTGGCTCCTGGAATTCTCGTTGGAAGCGGAAGCCTCCCAAGTGTTGGCGGAAATGGTGGCAGTTACGGCGGTGGCAATGGCGGTGGCAGCGGCGGTTTCGGCGGTGGCAGCGGCGGTTTCGGCGGTGGAAGCGGCGGTTTCGGCGGTGGAAGCGGCGGTTTCGGTGGAGGAAACGGCGGTTTCGGTGGAGGAAACGGCGGTTTCGGAGGTGGAAATGGTGGTTTCAGCGGTGGAAATGGTGGATTTGGTGGTAGTGGTGCTGGAGGTCATGGAGGTAGCTACGGAAGGAAATGAATTGCATAAATCACCAAAGTTGACGTTCCCTTTTCAAAATGGGAAACTGTTTAACGATTACAATAAAACTTTTTACTACCAAATTATCTTTAGAAAGCCCAAACTGTTCTTGAAACTATGTAAAGATTACAGTATTGACATTGCATTTTCTTTCTATCTTTAATAAGATCGATACCAAGAAACTGTAAGGAATTATGACAAAAGTATATATATATATATACGTTTGTATGTTTACTTACAAATACACATACATACAAACACACACATACATAACCACACAACGCTCAGGTTTGGTTCATTTTTATCTACATTTTGAAAACATGAAAAATCTACCGTGGTATGCCAAAATGAAATATGAGTATATGGCTTTTGATATTCAATAATTACATTCCTAATATTTACCTACAATATTTAATTTTCCTTTGAAAAAGTATGGTGGGGCATTTTGGCCCGTGCACAAAAATTCCATAGTACATAAAATCGAAAAGTATATTGAGCTGCACATTAAGCATTGATAAAGCTTTTATTTTTTTAACTTTGAAGATATAACAAAATATATTTAATATTTCACTTGATTTACCTTAAACACATTCATTGGTTGGCTAAGGTTTACATTAAACTTCACTGTCACTATCACTATCACTATCACTATCACTATTTGGGTTCACTATCTTGGCCAAGGTTTACATTAAAACATATGCAGTCATAAGTTTTGACAGTTTTGATTGAGTATGCTTTGCTTAATCCAGAGGCTAATTTCATTCTCTGTAAAACGGGGGTCACAGAAAAGATATTCCTAAATATTTGATCTCACGAATAATGAAGCAAGTACAATATGTTCACATCATGTGGAACTTGACAAACTGAAAGCTCTTTTGACATCTCTGCTATTTTTATTTAAAAAAAAAACGTATATGTCTTCAACCATCAATCTTTGGTTCATGGTTTTGTAACCCTGAAAATTAATGATTATAAAGACTGTTCCATAAACTAATTCAATTCTTAGGCATAAATCTTTAATGACGAATTACCCGTCAGGAAATTAAATCTTATCCAGATTTTTATATCTCTATTTATGTCAGATGGTTCAACCAGCCACCGCTTATGTGGTTCAAGGTATCCTAACCCGCTATTTTCAAATTCATAGCGTTTGTCTGCATACAGTCATGCTACTAGTTTCCTACATTTAGCCTGACATCTACGGCTACAATTAGAGAAAACTTATATCAAGATATATTGGAATATCTTAATAATCATAATAATGTTAATAGTCAAAACTTAGTCTGAAATTTACAGCTGAATAATAAAATGAATAATGATAATAGTAAAATATGTATATATGCTTCACTACCTAACAGCTTCCCATAAGCATGATACTTTATAGAGTGACCACCAGGGGGACTGCACTAAATGCATATGTATTTGTATATGTATGTCTTTGTATATATACATATATATATATATACATATATATACATATATATATATATATATATATATATATATGTTGCATATATATGAGTATATATGTAAGTATGTAAGTAAATATATATATTAGAAAATTAATAACTATTCATAAATAAACGTATGTATACGATAAACTAAATTATGTATATTTATATGTATGTATATATATATATACATATATATGTATATATATATGTATGTATGTATATATATATGCATATATATGTGTGTGTGTATATATATATATGTGTGTGTGTGTGTATGTGTGTATGTGTATTTGAATAAATAAGTATATATATACGTATATATATTTATATATATATATGTGTGTGTGTGTATGTGTGTGTGCATATATTGGTGTGCACATGTACATGCAAATAAATCTCCTCATTCTGTGATTAGTACCTTGAGGAGAAGACGGTACGCTTAGCAGTACAAGAAATATCTCGTTTACCGTCAACCATGACTGGTATATTTTCCACCTCTTCCTGCTTATTTTTTCCCCTTGTTTTCCTTTGTTTTCAAGAGACCACTGCATTTTTGCATGTTAAAATTAGACAATGTGGTAACCAAAGGCAAAAGGTCTCACTGTATAAATATCAGGACGAAGACCAAGAGCGATACACTCCTCGGTGGATTCTGTTAGCCACAACAGCCAAGATGCGTCGCAGTCTTATGGTGAGAATATGGAGGTTACTTGACATCGTTAACAATGATTCCTGTCCACATGCTTCTTCTTAATTATCTAGTAACTTTATACATGCTAAATTTCAATATGTAGAGGGAAGACAATATAGTCATGAACCATTTGATTCATTTTACAGGTGATAAGTGTAGCCTTGCTGGCGACGGCGATGGCTGACAGTGGATACGGAGGACGCGGAGGAGGTGGTGGAGGAGGCCATAGCGGAGGACACGGAGGAGGAGGTAGAGGAGGCCATAACGGAGGATTCGGAGGACACGGAGGAGGAGGTGGAGGAGGCCATAACGGAGGATTCGGAGGAGGTGGCGCAGTCGGCGGTGGATTCGGAGGAAATGCTATTGGAGGAGGAGTCGGCGGTGGAGCTGGTGGAGGTTATGGCGGCAATGGTGGAGGAGTAGGAGGAGGCAGCGTGGCTCCTGGAATTCTCGTTGGAAGCGGAAGCCTCCCAAGTGTTGGCGGAAATGGTGGCAGTTACGGCGGTGGCAATGGCGGTGGCAGCGGCGGTTTCGGCGGTGGCAGCGGCGGTTTCGGCGGTGGAAGCGGCGGTTTCGGCGGTGGAAGCGGCGGTTTCGGTGGAGGAAACGGCGGTTTCGGTGGAGGAAACGGCGGTTTCGGAGGTGGAAATGGTGGT